TCTAAATTGGAGATCAAGTTCAGATCCAATTCAAATCCAGTTTATCACTTACTTTTTATTGCCAGAATGTTTGCCGTATATTGTAAAGCTACGTTGCACAATATAAAAAATTAGTGTAACATTTCAAATTTCCATTATGCTTTTTAGACCAAGTGAGAATCATCATGTTCATCATACAATAATAATAACCTAATAACCTTGTAAAATAATTATTGCTAATAAAGACACATAACACTTTTACAAAAAATAATTTGGCCCTTAACAAATAAAACCTTTGACAATCTTTTGCTGAAAAACAACTTGCACCTTAATTAAACACTATCCTACCTTTATCTTTATCTTATATATTTATCAGACACCTCTTGAGCTCTATTTGAAATTACATGCTTGCAGCGGCAAACTCTACCAATGATATTACCAGTAAAAACAACTGAAGGTGAGCATTGCAACCAATTTTTAAATGTTTACATCAATAACTTTTTTACTGCACAAAAGTGATATGAAGTCAGATTTAATTGTTCTTTATTAGAAAGTATGCAGAGACCTGATTTTTATGCACAGTAGATGAGGTGCCATTTTTATCAGAAATAAAACCACTTGGTACAAGTCCTCTACTAAAGAAAAATGATTTCAAAAAGTCCATTAAAAGTCAAGATGCATTAAACCAACAGCTGGGCTATACATGCAATCCAATGTATTTTGATCTATTATTGATTAATGCAGGTTAGTGTTTTATTATACATGCAGCCCAAAACATTCAGGCTGCATAGTTTTTATTATGATTGCTCACTCATTATTCTTAGCATCAGGAAAATGCCTTTGAAATTACATGTGTACCCTACATATAAACAGCATGTAAACAGCATATCATTATCCGAGTATTATTTTAAATTACAGGGCTTTTATGTATAATGATTTGTGTATCATACATTTTTATACTAAAATTTTTTTTAGTAATCTCTTGTACAATCAAGGTCCTTTTCTTCTCTTCTCCAATTGAATAATAAAATGAAGACTTAAAACCTGGGCCTGCATTATGCAATTTTTTATCAGAAGATATACCAATTCCATATACAAATAACTGGAATTTTTCTAATTTACAATTAAAAGGACAAAAATGAATATTTTTCAAAAGCTGTTCATTAATTTCCAATTTGTTGTGGCCCATAATAAGAGGTCCAGAAAACTTATTCTTGCTGCCAAAAAGTTCTTGATAAAGTGTGGTTATTGCAGCTGAAGAATTGTCAAAAACAGTGCTTTTTTGCCTTTTGCTTTGCAAATATGTCCAGGCTGTTGCAATGAGCTTTTGTTACCTTGAACAATAGTAAAAGTAAATTCTGTATCTTGAAGAATGGTTGTTGTTTTCATTTTTACACAAATTGGATATAAATTAGAAATATTGGTGTCAGTATCAGATACATTATTTGTTTGTTGAGCTTCCCACCAATTGCTTGAAAATGGACCAAAATGTAAATTCTCATCCAAAGAGCCAAGTGAGTTCAAAGAAACTTGATGTTCTTTTCTTTTACTCATTATTTAATATCTATTTCACTTAATAATTGAAGAAGTGTTAGTAAGAAATGTGAGATTCTCAAATATTTTAAAGGTTGTAATATATTTATTATATCCAATGATTGGCAAATTTCTGCAGTTCTCACAAGCATAGTGGAAGTTTGTTGTTACATGAAACATTATGCAGAACTCATTGCTTCTGAACTTCGCTAGTATATAGTTATTACCTCTCTAAATTGGAGATCAAGTTCAGATCCAATTCAAATCCAGTTTATCACTTACTTTTTATGGCCAGAATGTTTGCCGTGTATTGTAAAGCTACGTTGCACAATATAAAAAATTAGTGTAACATTTCAAATTTCCACTATGCTGACTCACTGTGTATTGTTTTTATAATGATCTTCAAGCCAATAAAATTTAATTTTTGTGTGGCATCTGGAAGGGAGATCGTCTCAAAATTTAGCCAATGAAATCAATAAAGAATGGGCTTTTAGTCTGTGTGTAAATTTGTCATGTAACTAGTACAAATTTAGGAACCATCTCCAAAACTTCAAGTTTAATTGGATAATAATGTTACACGTCTCAAAATTTAGCCAATGAAATCAATAAAGAATGGGCTTTTAGTCTGTGTGTAAATTTGTCATGTAACTAGTACAAATTTAGGAACCATCTCCAAAACTTCAAGTTTAATTGGATAATAATGTTACATGTGCTCTCAATTTTTCTTGTTGGCTAATCATGTAAATATGATAATTACAGCATAGTGGACACTGTTACAGATCACAAAAACAACTATTTCATTGGCCAGATTTTTGTCAATATTATTTCCAATTATCACATAAAATCTAATTTGATTGGTTTGAAGATTATTACACAAATTCTAAAAATAAAAAAACACAACTGATTATTAATATATAATATGTTAAAATTTATAAAAATTTATTTAAAAAATTAAAAAACAAAAAAAATTATTTTAAATCCCCATTTTTCTTAAATAATATTTTATAACCGATAAAATGACTACTAAAAATTTAGGCCCATGCAATGTTTTAAATTGTGAGGCAAAATATGTTATATTTAGAAGATTCACCAAAGGTGGTTTTAAAAATGCTAAAATCATGGCACATATGAGGATTATAATTACCTTGAAATAAGGTTGTGGGCGAAACTTAAATCAATTTCATAATAAGTTTGAATTACTATCTGATCTTTTATACATAAGGCAAAGAAACTTAAATTTAGATGTTGAATTGGATCCAGAGAATTTCAAAAATATGATTGAGCAACATGAACCAGAGCTAAAAGGCTTTTTTGATGAGTTGGTTCACATCTTATCATTTAAAAAGTCTGGAGATAATAAAGATAATATACAAAATGCCAAAAAATCACTTGAGGATTCTGTTACTTATTAGTTGGATTAAAAAATCAATGAAATAATTCACTTCAGTTAGAAATAGGACTCTACTTATCTGCTTCTGGTTAAGGTTGTGGGTGAAACCTCCTTAGTAATTGCTGAAACCACGGCAAAACTATATTAAATCTTATCAAAAATCCTGTTGAAACTATGCCAAAATGGCAAAACCTCAAAATGCAAAACTTTAATAAACAATTATGTGTAACCTGCCAAAACCCTGCTGATTGATTTCTGGAGGAGTTTCGGCAAGCAACCTTACTTCTGGTGCAACAGTAGAATGTACGATATAATGTCAAGACTAGGAATTTCAGTGTCTTATAAAACATTAGATAGACATAAGAAGAACATTTCTAGTAATCACAAAGAAAAAATTAATAATTATTTTGAAGAAAATGCAAGTAAACTGTTTTGTTAATATAGATGATTACCATTCAATCCATAGTTACAGAAATCCCAACACAACAACATTTTCAACAGCTTGTCATATGGCTACTTGTGTTTCTAAAACTGTAAAAGATAGTAATGCTGTACCAGCATATGTTGATGGCATTCCAGTACATAACCCTAAAAATATTGAAGCAGATAGGATTATTAAATATTTAAATGATAAATATTTTAGTTCATTAAGTATAAGTTATAATGCAGTAAAACATAGTTGGCTGAGAAATAATGCAGCTACCTTTGAACAATTTGATAGACTAGATCTTTTGTCAATTCATTCATATAATTATGCCATAGAAAGTCTTTGTGATGATAGATCTATGAAAAATTGCCATTTAGTTGATATCAAAGAATTAAATTTAAAAAATTTGGATGATTATTTAAATGCTCTTAAAATGATAACTGGAATTCCTTCTTTAAATAATTACCTACAAAATAATATTATACCAGTTATTGCAGACTTCCCAGGCCAATTATTTATACGTAAAGCAATAACTCTTCTTCATAAACATCAAAATCAGCAAAATAATAATTTTCACCAAATACCTTCAATAATCAATAATTTTGTTCCAATTCTTGGTCCATTACATGTCTCATTGAACATGAGGGAAAATATAGTGGTTGTGCATTGGGACTTTTTTGAAATAATGTATAAATCAGTCTTTGGAATTAATAAAGTGCTGGCAGCAAAACCCAAGCCCTGGAGAATAAATCAACTCCTTGAACTTCTTAGGTCTGCCTGGATTGAAGGTGTGTGTAAAGATTTGGAATATCAAACAATGATAGATCTTTTGGATAATTTGATTCCAGCTGCATTGGACATTTATGCTATTATTTTTCAATCAAGTTCTTTCGAAGAATACATAGATACAATTTTTAGATTATGGAGCTTTGCTTTAAGATGGAAATGGAAAAATTATAATAAAATACCACTTGTCTTTCTTTCTGATTATTTCTACTGGAAAGACAACAACCATCCATTTCTTGAAGCAATTCAATCTCAACTTGTTAATTTCAATGACTACTATGTTGAAAATTGGCATAGTAAATTAGAGCCAATACCAGTCCACAATATTCAGCTGAAGCAATAACTTTACAAGCATTAGTATTAGATGCTCAGGATCAATCATTTATCAACACATTTAAAAAATTGAAAAAATGCCCTTACAAAGAATCCACGTTTAATTTTCTTAAATATAAAACAAGTTTGTTCTTAATTGATCATTTTCATAAAATTTATCTAAATGTGGGAGGAAGTAAAAAACTTAGCAACAAAGAATATTACTTAAAAACATTAAATAAAGAAGTCAAATCAAAGTGTATTCCAACAGGATATCATACCCAGCAACCACCATCTTATAATAAATGTGATTATTGTTATTCTAATTTTGAAGATAATTATGATCAAGATGCAATAATGTTAATATGTGGTCATGCATTCCACAAAAATTGTTATGAAATGAAAAAAAATCAATGTACCTATTGCTTGGAATTTTATAAAGAAGGTATAATTTCCAATGTAACTTCTTACATAAAAAGACTAGGAAAAGAAAATTTGAATGAGTTGTTGAATGAAGATGAAGAATCCCATGTAACAGAAGATGATGAAGAAGTGGAGGAAGATATAACTGAAGAACAAATAATAGCTTTAGACTTTAAAAATGCTTTTGATTTAATTAAAGATTGATAAATTTCAAAATAAAAAAAAATATTTAAACTCAAATAAATTGTGTGCATATGTGTAGACCTTACTCCAAACTTTAGTTCATATCTAACTTTTGATCTAGTGAGGACCGGTGGCAAAATAATTATATGAATATGCTCTTCAATAGGCTCTTCTATAAAATATTTTCCAATCCTTCTTGTTGGAAGAGGTTCGTCACAGTCTTGGAGGGTGATATTAGCCAATTTTTCATAGTTATCATCCGGAATTTCAACTTTCCAAAGTCTGAGTTGATTATAATCAATTTTTGCAAAATGATTACTCAATTCTGCTTTGATTAACTTTTGAGCTCGCTGACAGTTTTGTTTTTACTAATATTAGTAGAAAATGCATATGAAGGTAGATCTCCCTTTACTAAACAAAAAAGAGTGATTGTTCCTTCTTCTGACCATGCTTGTTGCAGAAAAAAGGAAAGAAAATGCCAAGTTTAGTAGTGTTTAAATGTATAAACAATTAACTATATTTATCATGAAAATTAATCTTACCTGATTTTTAATAATATGCATGGGATGGATATAAAAGAATTAATTCAGTACAAAACAAATGAAAATGGGTATATGAATAAACAGGATCATTTAATTAGTATAAATTAGTTAAATTGTAAACAGTATATCAAAAATTCAACGTTTGAATTAAGAGATTTATACCTGACGTTTCTTCCGACTTTGTTTTTTTCTTTCTAGACTTGACAGACTCGATATTTTATTTTCCTATTAGTTGGAAATTACACATATATATGAAACAGTCAAGTTTGCATTTGAGATGAATATGATTTGCTTATCACTCTTATTACTTACTTTGTTAGTATTTCTTTGCTTTAACGTCTGGATTGTTCTGGGTTTGTAACAATATAAAATGTACAAATCAATGAAAATTTAATAATTTGCATTTATTTTAATAATATTAGCTAGAGTAACAACACCATTCTTTTAACAATAACTAGAGTGACAACAAGTGGCGGGCGATAACCGCCACCACCATCCTTAAACACATATCCAAGTCTCGTTGCCTCTACAGAATTATTTAATTGTTTTCTTTTATTGTTTTTCGATGACATCTTACAATAAAGTAAAAGAAAAAAAGTTGTTTTGATCGACGTGTAACACATCAATTATTTATCCTATTGGTTTTTTTTTTTGGGAGGACAGACGCGAATGATTTTTTTTTTCTTCCTTGGAAAAACAATTTATTTTTTGACAGAGTCCAAGGTGACAAAACGTGAGTGTTGTTGTTTGGTTTGGTTTGGTTTGGGTCTTCTAAAGAAAACGTGTTAATAATTAACCAGAGATACTTTTTTTTATTTTTATTTTAGTTTATAAATATTTTAATTGGAAATTAAAACGCGGAGCAGATCTTGCTGGGTAATTACAAGATTTTCATTGATAATATTTTGCTTTTCGTAATCGTTAATAATAATATAATTATATTATTATAATTACAAGATGTCAAGGAAGCACACCATTGAAAAAGAGACAATTCAAATATGCAATGTTTGATTACAGGAAAATAGCAGGCACGCTACCTTGAACTTGAAAGTAGAGCAATGATGTATGATGAAACTTTCGACTTTAATCATTGACGTAACTAAAGTATTGACTAAAGATAGTTTTTAAAAACGTGTGTCCGGGGATGAATAAAGAATTATTATATCATTGTATGTATATTGCAATGATGCAAGGAGAATAATTATCACGGGGAAGTTTACAAATGTTGTAAATTGAATTAGAAATTTTACTTTCGTATATTTTTTTCGAATAAAAATGACTTCTTTTTTACAAATTAAAACATTCTTTTATTATTACATTTCATAAAATGCAAAAAATCAAACTGTCTTTGCATATATATGAATTGTGTTAGATTGATGTTTTTCGAATTTTTGGCTTTGAAGTTAACTACGCTTAATAGTAATACGCAATAATATTAATAATGTGCTTTAGTGCCCGAGTTTGAAGCAACATAGGTTGATAAATATTGGTACCTTTACATAGCACATAAGACAAATTTTGTTGTGAGTTTTAATTTGTTTTCTATTTTTATCACTTTTAAATCTTCAAAGAATTTCTTTATTGCTGTATCACGATAAATCGACTACTAGAGTTTGGTGATGATGAAGTTGTTCTTTAAATAATGCAATTTTCGTTTAATCCTGTTAGAGAAAATCAAAAAAATGTTGTGCGAAAAATTTGTTTGTTACACGTCATTCAAGAAAAAGGAAATGATTGAATGAATTAGAGGTTCCTATTTTTCATATTAATATTAATATTCGATAAACCAGATATAATAAAACCAGTTTATTTCGGACAACCGGTTTTATTATTATTATTATTATTATTATTATTATGCATACAATCACTATGCTAAAATCATAAATCATTTATCAAATTCTCCGTCACCATTTTCAAAACAAAAAAAAAAGAATATATATGTATATTTTTTGAATTATATATATTATTAATGTACATATAATTTATATATGAATGTATATTGTGAGATCGTGTCCAAGCTTCAATGATGATTATTTATTTATTTGATGTTTATGCTAATAAATAATACAATTTCTTCCAATTTGTAATAACAATTTCTGCGAATATATATTTATGCTTTACTCCCAAACTATCTTTCACCGTCATTAAACGATTCGTTGCTAAGCAATACTAAACAATATCCTTAGATTTCACACTATGTCCTGATCACGTTTATTGGTGGATGCCCCTCTCGCACTATTACTCCCTACTCGTCTCAGGTACATTTCCCAACCTTCACTAAATAAAATTTACCTACTAAAAGAAAAGAAAAGAAATAAAAAATAATAATAAAATAGAGACAATTATAAAATAAGAGAAAATTAATTATGCACGGAAAATATAAAATCGAAGACCGGGTCAAGAACAAGACAAGGTTAAGGTTAAGGACAGTCGGTTATTTATTATGAATTAACTATTCATTAACCATTGATTTTCTATTTTTTTTAGTTTAGAATATTACTATGTTATTTATACATGTTATCATCTAGCTCCCCATTTCTAAAAACTCTTAATTAAAGTATTCCTTAAAAATAAACAAACCTTTCTTTTGGAAATAATTAAAGAAACGTTACTTTTTTGATAATTTCCGCGAGTTAATTATTTTATTAGCTTATTGCACTTTATCAAATTGGACTGATTTGAATCTTTGAAATGTTCGTAAATCGTTCGTGATCCTTAATTGCTATTACTATTACTATTACTATTACTATTTTCACAATCGAAAGATGATACATTTATTTAATGTTTACACTAATACAATAATATAATTTAGCAAGGAATTGTTTAATGACAGTGAAAGATAGTTTGAGAGTAAAGCATAAATATATATATATTCACGGAAATTGTTGTTACAATTTAGTATAATTAAATAACTTTGCTTTCGTTTGATAAAACCCGTTTCTTGAAAATAAAACCGATTCCCAACCTCTAGAATGAATTTCTATTTTCCTTTTTCCTTTTATTATTTTCGTTAATTAATTATTCTTCGCATTCACTAAAACACCAAGTCGAATTTTATATTTCATATTTTTACATAACGTCACATAATAAATTATTATCATCGTTATCACTAGAAAGAAAGAAATTTGTATTTAAAATTGATAATGAAATACATAATTGGAAGGGTGGAGGATTTTATTAATGAAAATCCTCATATAACTACACGAGAACTAGCGGTAGAAGTTGGAATCT